AAAAAAAATCTCTCTTTAAAAAATAATAATAAAGCTCCCAGTTGTCTCCACTGTGCTTTTAACCTGCTCACTATGACTTAAATCTTAAACCTTAAAATTAAAGCTTCACATTAACCTAACATGACCGAGGGTAAAGAATCTCACAGAACACAATCATTTTTGGTGTCAACACCAGTTCAGTATCAGAGCAGTGAAGTAGTGTAATTTTGAATTATTAGATGTGTTCAACCTTCACTTTACAAATCAGGAGCTCAGAAATTCACCTTTTTCCTCACATGTGAACGGCAGCAGCTCAGGTGGTTGAGTAAGATAAACTAAGACAAGATGGCTAGTAAGACAAGGAATCTTAAACTTAAACTTAAGAAATGTCAGTATAATTAATATAATTATTTCTGAGCAGGAGTTATTTTTAAACCACGTGTAGAATCAACAGAACACCCATAAACAATCTGCTTCAACAATTAAGCCCAGGTCTTTATTGCACAAGATGAAGGATAAAAGTACAGCTCGTATCAGGTTACTGGAGATAAATTGGGCTTTGTTATGAGAAAATTATGAAAGTCAAACATAAAATACCAGGAGGTCAATAAAACTCAAACTAAAATGACTTAAAACAGTTCAACTTAAGAGTCCAACTATTGTAGGAGTGAAGGATAGGGTCAAAGGCAGGGCCTGTCTCCACCAGGGCTGGCTTCAGAGCAACCTTATCAAAGAAAAATGCAGCAGTCAGGCTCAAACGTAGCCGGCCAAAGACAACCAACATGCCCTACGTCTTCAAGACAGAATCCTTTGAGTCGACTACTGATGTACTCACGTATTTTTGGGAAGAGTACCGCGCCCTCCCTGCTGTCTCCAACCTGGCGTTGTGCTCGTTTGACTCTCTGGTGTTTTCTCTACCATGGTGTTGCCGTTTCGAGGCTGCCCTTTCCTCACATCTGCCTCCGTAGTGTTTCTGGCGACTACTACTCAGCTCCACCGTCGGGCCTCTGTTTCCCCTCCAGGCTCCTCTCATTTCCACTTCCACACTCTGGGCCTTAAAGCTACATAAAAACATATAACAATTTCACATCAAAATAAAGGTAGAACAGAAACATGTACTGAAAGGAAATAAATAAGAAAAATGATACACACCAAGCAACTAAAACAACATGCAATACCTGGCTGCTAAAATCACAATAAACAAACGCCTGCCCCGTTACATCCTGACCTTCTCCTCCGCAATGAACAGCAGCAGCTCAGGTACAGTAAGATAAGAGCAGAGAGAAAAAATAATTGTTTGTATGAAAAATCATGTTTGATTGTAGATTAAATGATAATACAGATAAACAGGAGTAGAATACACTGTGTACCTAGTTTCCACAGGAAAGCATACATATATTTTCACTGTCTCTAATATTAACCTGATCCAGGTCAAGTGTTGCAAGTCAGAAGCACAGGCTGGCTTCACAACTACACAGCTGGCTGAGAGCAGAAGGAGACATTTAATGGCTTGAAATACAGGTATAACCTTGTTAAATGATTTATTATTAAAGTACATACATAGTATTGGCTGGTTTACAAAATACCCTACAGTTCAATTGTTTTGTATTTTAGCCTAATCAAAGTCACTTTGGTTACAATTCAGAAAGTCACACTTATCTTTTTTGTCCACAGTGAACAGCAGCAGCTCAGGTGGTGGAGTGAAGCACAAAAAGAAAAAAGGTTAGTAACACCATTAATAGTAAATTACATTCTATTGTAAATCACTTTCTTCATAAGTCAAAAGCTCATACGCACCTTTTTTTGTCCACAGTGAACAGGAGCAGCTCAGGTGGTGGAGTAAAGCACAAAAAGAAAAAAGGTTAGTAACACCATTAATGTTACATTACATTCTATTGTTTTCTTCATAAGTCAAAAGCTCATACGCACCTTTTTTTGTCCACAGTGAACAGCAGCAGCTCAGGTGGTGAAGTGAAGCACAAAAAGAAAAAAGGTTAGTAACACCATTAATAGTAAATTACATTCTATTGTAAATCACTTTCTTCATAAATCAAAAGCTCATACGCACCTTTTTTGTCCACAGTGAACAGCAGCAGCTCAGGTGGTGGAGTGAAGCACAAAAAGAATAAAGGTTAGTAACACCATTAATGCTTGAATTATCAATATAATGACATTTCAGAGAGTTAGGCAAGTTTTAAATGGCACCAGCTTAGGTGTATCTAGTTTACACAATATTACTTTCTCTGTTTTTACATTACATTCTATTGTAAGTCACTTTCTTCATAAGTCAAAAGCTCATAC